TTATGCACCAAGAGCTTGTAACACTCCAAAGAGAAAGGAAAAATTGAAATCGCATCATATGACCCTTTTAAATATGTTAATTTAAATATTAATATATTTTGACATTGCTCTTCAATGGCTTGGCCATTAATGTCTCACCTTGAGCTCCATGTCTTTCAGCTTCAGCTCCAGCCCAGAGTGTAAGTTGCTCACTTCCTGTTGAAGTTTCAGGATGTCCTGCCATCCAGCAGCACTAATGTATGATGACAGTTTAGCAATGCTAGCATCACATCTAAGGCAAAAAGAAATTTAAACAACTTTATATTCCATAATTTTGTCAACATTTTCATCTAAATCTTTAAAAAAAATGTAAAGTCTTTTGTACATATTTTACAAAAGTATATCATAAATTGCTTAACCACTGGTCAATGACCTTTCAAAATAACCCTTTGGATATATTTAATTGATTTTCAAGAAACAGTCTGTTTTGTCTGTCTGTCTACTCTTTATTTAACGTGACCTTTATTTTAAGTAAACAAAAATCGTTTTTCATAAAGTTACTTTTGGTGTTTTTGTATTGCTGTCATACAACTGTCATTAAAACACCTTTTGCTACATTTTTGCTTTTTAACTGGAAAACTCTTCTTCAGTTGCATTGTGCAGCAATAACATCAACATTTTCATGTTTTTAAAAGTTAATTATCAGAAATTAAATATTTATACATTATAATTATAAGGTCATAGAAACTATTTAAAGTAACAGTTAGTAGCAGCTACGTCAAGTAAAAACATAAAGTAGGTTTTTTCATACAAGATACAAAGACATTTTTCCTAAATTTTCCTTACAAATAAAACAAAACAAAATTGTGGAGCATTTATGGAACTGTAAAGATTGAAGTTTGATCTTTTGAAATAAAATAAAATAACAAAATAAAATAAAATAATTGTGTATTTCTATCTATTTCTATCTCTATCTATTTCCACATTCATTTGTATATAAATATTAGGCTTTTTTGAATAAACAAAAGCCAAGAAGACATCTCTCTAATAAGTTAACAAGTTAACAACTAAGCTAGTTGTTTGGAAATATGCATTCTTACTGTCACATTTATTTTCAGTTAGTTTCAGTGTCATGGACTTTTAGTTTGTATTCATTAGTTCCTGTGTTTGTGTGTCGCTCTTCCTTTGTTGTCATGGTTACTGTGATTACTAGTTTGTTCCGTTCAGCTGTTTCTATTATTTACCTCATTATTCGTTGTGCTCCTAAGTTCCTGCATTTCCTCAGTTCAGTGTCTGGTCACATTTGCGTTTTGGAGTGTTTACTGCTGCCTTTGTGTACTATTATTATGAAAGATTCATTTTGGAACTTCTTCTGTATGTGCACACACTTGTGACACTTACACATGAGTGATCATTTTATTTTCAGCCTCATTGTTATAAAACATAATTAGCAACACAATCATAATCATTTATGAATCACTCATAGTATTGTGAAATAACAGCCTAGTCTTTGAGTTCATGGTCATGTATTTAAAATGATGACTGTTTTTGGTGCAAAAATAGTTAACATTATAAGTGGACTGCAGGGAAAATAAAATGAAAAAAAAAATCTAAACAAAATGAGAAATTATTGTTTAATTAATCTTGTAAATTGTGACCTTGCCACTCTGCCTCTGAGATCCCCAATACCCGTCATGTTCTTGTGATCCAAGCTCTTGACTGCAAAAGTTGTCCCTGCAGCAAGGTTGTCTCTCTCAATAATCTGGGCTTCCAGCACCTGGGGAGACAGAAGATTGTTCTGTCCTCACGGTCATATAACAGTGTGATTGCTCATATCAGCAGTCACTCACTGTAATCACAGTTTGACAGACGTCAGTATTTTTCCATTATAATGCTGGAGTAGTTATTAGAAGGATCTTGTTTTTTTCTTTCTTTTTAAAAGCTTCTAAATTGGATAATGTACCTCGAGTACATATTTTATAATTGTAGAGGGAAAGACAAAAGTGGTTTAGCCCAAGCAATTAGGCCTAGCATATTCTTATTTTTTCCCGTTGCTAATCAAGCCTGTGTTTCCTGGTTACGTCGTTACTTTTCAGGGACAAAAAAAAAAAGCCTCATTCTGGCCATGGTATGAGCTTTGATTTATTTGATTCATTCATTTTTTATGCACATATTCTGCATAATGTATCCCATCAGGTAAATGGTTCTGCTGGCCGGCATGTTTCCTCAAATTGTACCTCGCTCATCCAACATTGTTAAATTTTTGCTTTCACATTAACAGTAAATGGAAAACTTTGAGATGCTTTGATTATTGATCTAACTGTCAATCAATGTAATTAGTTCAGACCTTTCTGAACATTGAAGTAAACACAACGAACCCCTTTCACATTTCCAGGGTACTCAGAAGCAGAAGTCATCATAGTTGGGTAAACTTTTATAGTGGTAAATGGAAAATACAGCAAATATATTGTAAATATATTTTAGAATATATAATATAAAATATATTTAATAATATAATATAATATAATATAATATAATAAAGTCATTATAATTGTTCATTTTGCACCTGGATGTCTTTGCTGAGCTGTTTGACAATGTGAGTTATGATTTGAATGTGGTTCTCCAGTAGTTTTCTAGCAGACGACTCCATTAGGACTGAACCCTGAGTTGCACGTAGACCAGTCACCACATCGTCCCTGATCTTCATGGCTTGTTCCAGTAGAATGCTCAGAGTGCGTTCCTGATTGGTCATGTGGCTCTCCATATGTCCTATAAGCATTTAATTCAAAACATAATTACACAACTAGCACTCATTTGCTAGAGCCCCATTTTATTAGGCCTTTAAACATAAACAGTCAAGCCCACAGAGAGTTAAAGTAAAGTCTGGCAGTAAAGAAGTTTTATTTTCAAAGGCTGGTCACCAGAAACTTAATTTTAAAATCTCTTCATCAAAGGCAAAACAGCCTGTTACATCTCATTACAGTGTAATGTGAACTTATTTGGTGTCATTTAATATTGTAAAATGTATAGTATAATTAGTAAACAGAGTCTGATAATGCTTTACTTTATAAAAGAAACTACAGTAAACAGCCATACTGTCGAAATGAAGCTTAATCAAATGCCTTTTGAAGCTGCAAGAATGCAGCCCTGTTTTCTCTTACATTGCATTAAATGTAGTGAGCATAACTCAAGGGCTCCAGCAAACTACATCAACTATTGATTATCTGCCGCTGAGTACCGTTTCACTCTGATGAGCTCATATAGAGTATTCATTTAGCAGAGATGAATCCTTTTGATTGAGCATTTACAGTTTTAATATAGCCATCCATCATAACATAGCAGCAATGACAAAAGAAAGTGTTAAAATGTGTATGCATGTGCTATATACAGTATATATATATATATATATACTGTAAATATATAGTGCAAAGTAAAGTTGAAATCTTTACTTACTTGTGAACTGTTTCCCTGTAGTCTATGTTTGTTTAGTCTGATCTCTTAGCTACTGCATGGCATGTTCTGACAGGAGTGTGCCATTACTTGACAACTAGATAATGCAGACAATTTGCAAATATGGTATTTTAAAAAAGTACATCTGCTTGTCTAAATATAATGTAATTACTACTAATTAACATTCTATTCTGCGAAGGATGACAGCTTTAGGATGATGCAGTTCATCATGCTATAATTTGACAAAAATTAAGTACTGAGATATAAGCCAGACATCTCAGACTCCTCATTAATTCTCATGGGCTTCTCTGGCCAGAGTGCCAGTAATGATTTCCCTTTTGTGATTTGTAACACATCTATTATGCAATAGCAAATGTACTCAGTATTCCCACGCTTCAAAGCTAAGTGGTGATGGTCTCTTCAGGGGAATTATTAATGTCCTAATGTGTGCTGTTACTTGCTGTGTGTAAAATCAATTTGATACACATAAACATTTTAAACATCACAGCTCTTCGTCAAACAGACATGCCTTTACAGCAGCTGTTACAGCCTTTATAGAATTAAATCATTCAAATTCTCAGATCTTTAAAAGGAAAATCGAGTGGGTTTTATTGTGGGCGGTATTCTCTTGGCTTTGCCTTCACTTTTAAACCGATAGCATGGATATTTACACTGTTACAATGCTAGTAATTGTAATGGAAAAATAATATAAAAATTATATACAGTTAAAATTCGTCAAATCTAAAGGTGTCTTTACACAGTCCAGGTAAAGCTAGCTAATATGCGCCTGCTCAAAATGTTGTGTAAATGCGCAATAGTGCATAAAAGCCAGGCTAAATTATGCCTGCTCAGACCCAACTCAGCTCCTATATCAAAGTAGTGTAATTGCTGTGTAAATGCATTTATGCCCCTGTGCCACATTAGACACACAAATTCCACTTCAGAAGCACTTCTCTGCCACCTTTACAGTGTAAAATTGCAATATGAGTTGCCTCACCATGTATGTTAAAAAATGTAACGTCATAATTTAAAAGACAATATATAATACCTTATTGTAGTTGTATTGTAGTTATTTTTGAAGTTATATAGGCTATATCTATATATCTATCTATATCATAGCCTATATATATATATATATATATATATATATATATATGTCTTTATGTTATTATTGATGTAGGGGAGAGCGGGGCACAATGTAACACTTTTTGACTTTCTGAGTTTGTGTAAATCCACATGGAGTTCAGAATATAATCTTCTATCCACAGTAATTTTACACTTGTCTAGTACAAATATGTCGCTTTGTTTCATAATTACAGTGTATACGTTTTTCTTTATTTACCCTCAAAAAATGGAAGTGAAATGTGACAACATGCCCCGTGTAAATTACATTGCTAATGTCATAGAATAGCACATTGTAACGCAGTGTTACAACGTGCCCCATCTGCGCAACTGGCATTTAAAGCTGGTTAGTGTCTTCTGCTAGTTATCAAAGCATTAAAAAACTAGCTAAAGTGATAAATAACAGATTGGAGATTAAAATAATAGCTGATTTGTCTCATGTTAAATTAATAATAAAAACAGATGTCTCAGCAGAAGAGCTCGTCCTTGGGCTCGACGTGCTTCGAGAAGCTGGTGGTGGAATCGGCAGCATCCAGTGAGGATGAGCTGGCCAAAAACGCTAGTGACCTGGTAAGTGTGGTTTTAAAAAACAAGATAAACAGGAAAGTGACCTGGGTGTGCTTTTTGCATCCTGAGAAATTATTTTTTTTCTTCACGCTTCACTGTCTCATTAACTGACCTGCAAATTGAATATTGTCAGGTCATCTCCCATGTAGGGTATTTAGACAGCAGTTGACATTAAACATGTTGACTGATCTGTCAATGTGTGATTTAGAGAGACTAAGAAGTAACTTGATTCATAATGTCACATAATGTCAATGGCACTTCATTAGATAACAACATATCAAACCAATGGCATCTGCAAACACATTCTTATAGACCTTTAGTAACTTTACTTTTCACAGCCATTTTTGCAAATACTTTTTACTAACTAGTGTCAGTGTCACTTGTGATGAATGTATGTAGTCATTTCCCCTCAAATGGGGAAATGTTTACACAAGTATCCTAGCAGAGTGACTACAGGTGAAGTTCATCACATCAGGATTCCCATAATACATTTCCACGACTTTCCCATGATTTTCCCAATTGTTTCTAAATACTGGATAAAGGTTTTTATAAAGATTGCACTCCCGTCACTGCGCCCTTGATCTGTGTCATGAATGATAGCCATTGCCTTAAGTAGTGATGTTGTTAACAAGTAGCAGCTTTTGTGGCTATCACACTTGAGAGTTTGGAATGACACATCTGTCTTAATGAGGCTGTTATGTGCAACAAAGCAAACTTCTGAATATTTATTATCTGCAATCTTAGGTGCAACTAGTGCAATGAGTTGAAGCTCTAAAGTTTTGGCTGAAAACTGCTGCAGGTTGTCAGCTGTATTATCGGAGGCATTATTCCCTTTGTGCAAATATTATTTAACAGTAAATAAATGAAATCAGCTGTTACACACTAAATGTAATCAACAGCATAAACAGGACTTTATAAAGTTTTTCTTCAGGTATAAGAAATTAAAAAAAATATTTAATCTATTTTTTCAGACAATGGAAATGCAAGAGAAAGCAATACTTATAAGAACCTGTTTTTTAGGCTATTAATTTATAATGTTGTGAACCTCCTGACATCATTATTGGCCCTTCATTTCATTATTTTGTGAATCCCAATTGGTCATGTTAAAAATGAATAGACAGCAAGATCAGTGGTTGAATATTTAGAAGGTAGGAGTTTAAAAGTTTGTTGAGATTTTTTGATGTAATGCTGCAGAAAGAGAAAAAAATACTTATGCTTAATTATTTGAAGGGCTTATATTTATTAAAGTGATAGTTCACAAAAAAAAGTGCTGAAAATGTACTCACCCTCAGGCCATCCAAGATGTAGACGAGTTTGTTTCTTCATCAGAACAGAAATTGGAGAAATGTATTATTACATTACTTACCAATAGATCCTCTGCAGTGAATGGGTGCTGTCAAAATGAGAGTACAAACAGATGATAAAAACATCACAATAATCCACAAGTAATCCACACGACTCCAGTCTATCAGTCTGTTAATCTCTTATGAAGTGAAAATCTGCATGTTTGTAATAAGCAAATCTATCATTAAGGTGTTTTAACTTTAAATGGCCTCTTCTGGCATTTGTTTACAACTGTGAACTATTTGAAACTTGATCTGTGCATATTTCTCTCCTAATTCAAATGAGACCTTTTCCCTGAAGAAAGCACTATTATGGATAGAGGTTCTTTTTTTTTTTCTTTTTTGCAATGAAGAAACAAACTTATCTACATGGGCTGGACAGCAACATTGCAGAATAACTACCTTCTTCAAACTCAGAGGGATGTATATATGTGACCCTGGACCACAAAACCAGTCTTAAATCGCTGGGGTATATTTGTAGCAATAGCCAAAAATACATTGTATGGGTCAAAATTATTGATTTTTATTTTATGCCAAAAATCATTAGGATATTAAGTAAAGATCATGTTCCATGAAGATATTTTGTAAATTTCCTACTGTAAATATATTAAAACTTAATTTTTGATTAATAATATGCATTGCTAAGAACTTAATTTGGACAATTTTAAAGGCGATTTTCTCAATATTTTGATTTTTTTGCACTCTCAGATTCCAGATTTTCAAATAGTGGTATCTTGGCCAAATATTGTCATATCCTAACAAGCCATACATTAATTGAAAGCTTATTTATTCAGCTAGTATCTTATGACTGGTTTTGTGGTCCAGGGTCACATATTACCATTTGTGTAAGGCATCCTTAAATAAAAGAAACAAAACAAAACAAAATAGAACTAAACAAAACCTAAAAACAAAAGTAGTCATATATTCAGTGTAGGCAGTTTGCATTAGGCTTCTTATATGAAATCTCAGATATTTATGGAAAGATCAAAATCTCTGCATGTAATATGATAAAGTATGTGGGTTTGAGAAGTTCAGTGACATTGTATGCAGAGAAGGAAATGAAAGAATCAGTGACCCATTTAGCCTGATCCATAATTAAACCCTCTACCATATCTTTCCCTCCATAGCAATTATATAATACCTTACTGCCATACTGGTTCTGTTCTTCTGTTTGAAAATGTAACAAATAGGGCTTATTTCTCATAAATTAGAGAGACTGTTAGATATAGATCTATGCAATGTCACTGTAGAGCAGATTAGGTAAGGTCATAAGTGAAGAGTG